TGTAAGCAGGTGGCAATCTCAGTCTTGCTTATTAACGCATGCACGGGAGCTGGTAAATGTATTCCCATCATGTGTTTTGCCTCATACCCATTCTCTGCTTTTCTAGACCCAGCTTTGGAGATACTGGGGTTGTTTGTACTGCTGGGCTGGAATAGGTGGGACTGCCCTGGGCTGAAATCAGAGCCAGCAGAACAACTCTGAATCTCTACAGAGATCCCCAAATCCCACAGCATTTGGGAAACTCCGGGTTTGGCATCTGGGATCCTCCACTCAGTTCAGAGAATGGAAAACAAAAAAAGAAAATACAGATAAAACCGACCCTGAGTGCATCTTCAGGTGGAGGTGACCGTTCTGGTGCACCCCAGGATGACCCTGGCTTTAAATATTTGCCAGGTTGGGGAGCTATTTGTCCAGAGAATAATTCAGGTGCAAATATTTACCTCAGATAGAAACTTCCAAGGGGAGTTGGACTAGAGGATCTTTAAAGGTCTCTCCCAACTCTAAGGATTCTATGATTCTGTGACTCAGAGTCGGAAAAGATTTATGTTAAAATCCTTCAGGTTGGACACTGAAAACTTAAAGTGGTTTTCTTTGGCCTTCCTTAAAATTAAACCCGCACTGTGGTCCAAGAAAACAGTCTTAATGACTTACACTGAAATGTCAGAATGATTTTAAGCAAGGTAAGAAAACTGTTGTGTTGCTAATCCCTGACCGGCTGATCTCAACAAACATGCTCCACGGGAGAACTGAGATATGTGCCCAGGCTTAGGAAAGCTGCACGGAACCGAGAGATGCTGAGGTCAGGTGGGGGACCTGGAACCTCAGAACTTTCAGAACAAAAATAGGATTTAGGACCTCGTGTTTTCACCGAGACAACAAAAGTGGATATAATTAACGCGCACTGTTAAACTCCGTTAGTCTCCCAGGGCCTCTGCTATGCTTACAAGATCAACACACTGGAATAAGTTTGGCTAAAAAGGTGGGGAGCCACTTGACCACAAAGTCATTTACTCTACAGAAAAATGCATACTTTCGTTTCCTGTTAGCGTGACAGCAACTGATTCAGTGGTGTTACCACAAACTGCCCCCCAAAACACTGAAGTGTTCAGGCCCTGCTCCACTCACTGTGATTGACAAAGGAGAAGGGTAACTTAGCAGCAAACCATGCCTTATTTTTGACCTTTCCTTTAACCAAAAGATACCACAAGGTCTGTAGTGAAACACCTGGTTGAAGGAAGCCCATCCTGCCACACAGCACAACCAGCCAGGGTCAATCTCCACAAGGTGCTCCTACTCTCCTTTATGTGAAGTGGAAGCTCTGGCACCTGTGGGAGTGAGGGTCTATAAAGCTGGTGGAGGCTCGTTTGTGGTGTGGGGTTGTGCTTTGTTGGCAGTTATAACGAAGGTGGTGAGGAACACGAGCAAGCTGGAAGGCCTTTGCTCACAGGTTATGGGCCCAAGCTTATGGGAAGTAAGGAGACTAGAGGTATGAACCTTTGGAACTGTGCTCAGTCCCAGTTAGTGTGAGTTAACCTCATCTTTCCTTCTGCAGCTGATGTCACCTTAAAATGCAGTGTGACAGTTGGGCTGTTCTGGCAGAAGAGAGGCAGCAACGCGGGTTTGGGAATGCAAAAGTGTAAGTTTGGAGTGCCCAGCACTTCAAACAGCACTTGGTATGGGGAAGCACATAATGATTCTGCAGGAGGGGAATAACAGTAGTTTGTTGTGATATCACAAATATGTTGCGATAGGGACAGAAAATTATCTTGGTTCCTGTGAGCTCTGAAGATCCGGGGGGGGGGCATAGCAGGGAAGGTGCAGTCAAGGAGTCACAGGAACAGGAAAACCATGAAGAGACAAACTCTTGGCATTCACCTGACAGCTGGGAAGGGGATTAAACGAGAGATTGCTGGGACTTTCTGTTTTTTCTCTATAAGAGAACAACAATCTTTGCATGCAGAGAAGACGTAGATGTAAATCTTAACTTCAAAAACTGTCCCATGTGTAACTCTTGTGTGCAAGCTTGCGGGAAAGGCCTCTGCTCTGAGGCACAGCGGTGATGGGAGCTCTGCTCCTGGGAAGCCATGTGCTCCCAGCAGGAGGACGGCCCGCCCTGTGTGCATGAGCCTCTCTGTGGTTTGGTTGCATCCAGCCCTTCTGTTTGTGGCTTGGATGACAGAACAAGAAAGGGAACTGATTAAATTCACAGCTGATACCATGCTGGAAGGGCTGTAAATGCACTGTAGGGAAGGATTAGAATTCAAAATGTTCATGACGAGCTGGAGAAACAGTAAGGGGTGGGGGAAATGAAATAAAAAGGAGATAACTCAGGACAAAGGTAAAATCCCATACTTGGCAAGAACAGCAACTGAAGTGATAAAAATGGAAGTGATTGCACAGGCAGCAGTTCTGCAGGAAAGGAGTGGGCAAAGAGCACATCACAATACAGACAGTAGCAGAGCCCACGCAGCTCCAGAGCAGTGCAAGTGTCCAGAGTGCTGTGCTATGTGTGCTTTGATGGAGGATCTCAACATCTTCCCAGAAGTGCTGGTGGTTGAACAGGAGCACAGTCTGTGCATGGGCCTTCCTCACAGCAGCAAAACCCTCTCCAGGTTAATGCTATGCAGCAGAACCGATCAATGTCTAATGGAACAGGGAGTTAACGCAAACACTAATAACAACCTAAATGGTCTAATAGTTGGGTTTTGCCTCTGCTTTTTAAATTATATCTATATTTTACATCCACGTGTGGAGATGAAGTTCTGTTAAATTAGGCTGACAGAACCAGGAGTTTCTGAGCACAGCTTTTTCAGGATGTTTCCCCCTCTCTCATAACACGGCTTCTTCTCAAACTATTAGAGAGGAAGCATTTCCATGATTTTTCAAACTGGTGGTTGCAGGCTTGTTTGACAGTTGCATGATTCTTCTATTTTTTGTGAGAAACTAGTCCCCATAGTGAACAGTTTTGTTTCCCTTTTGTGTATTTATTTAACTTAATTTTTTATGAGTAATGCCCTGAAAAGCACATAGCTCTTTCACAAGGAGATTATAAATGGATGCTTATCTCAGGCACCAAACATCCCTTTAGAAAGAACCACCAGCTCAAGAAATGGGAATAAACAGGAAGAGAGCCTCAGCCAGCACCAGGCTGCACTGTGCCAGAACAAGGTTTTTCCCCGCTACCTCCTCTGGAAGATGTAAGGCTGCCTTGGCTGGCTGTCACTTTTACGGAGCATCGCCCTGCCATAAACTCACTGAGAGCAGAGCTGGTGCTGGGGAAACAAGCAGGGCTGCTGCTTCCTATGAAGGGATGCTCCTCCACACAGCACTCCTTCACCACTTTTAACTCCGTGCGACACAAATCAAACCGAGTGAAGCCGAGCAGTGGTGTGCTGCAGCAGTGCCACCCCCAGAGCAGCCAGCCCCGAAGGGCACAGCAGGGACGGAGATCCTGGTGCACACTGGCAGCTGGTGTTTCTCCGGCCAGAAGCTGTTGGTTGGTTGGGACAATGAGGCCACTATTTGTCGCCTCTTTTCAAGCAGGAAACTAAAACATGAAGGTGGGTACCAGTAGGCTTTAAGGACACACCTGCTTAGTGCTCAGCTACTGCCATCCTGCAGACCCAGAGTGAACATCCAACCACCCTGGCAATTGCATTTCTTGTATAGAGTGCATCTTTCTGGCAGCAGCCCACAGCCTCTCTTTCCTCTTGGTTCTGTGCATTTCTGCCCAGCCCTTCCTGTGCAGAGCATCAGAAAAGCCCTGCAGAGTGCAGCCAGGGCCCCTCAGGCTTTAAGGACAGAACCCCAGCTGGTGCACAACAGCACAAACACTGCTGAACTCACCATTACTGCCGGTAAGCAGCTACAATTCTGACCCCAGTTCCTATTTTAAAATGCCTTCTGTATGGACCTCTCCAGTGCAGAGACTGCCAGGAATGGACTCAGGGCTGGGTGTGTGCTGTGCACTCTGAGGGAAAGACATCAGCTGTCCTGTTCCACAGATCAGGATCTGCAGACCAGGCCTGAGCAGCACGTTCAGTACCACAGTGTCCCAAGCAGAACTGAACCTGGTGTTTCCCTACTGACGATCCCATCAGATGTTCCTTTAGTGATACTCTCCCTCACACATGAAGACTCACAAACAGCTAAGTATCCTGGATCTGACCTAGCGCACAGCACCCACAGGATCAATGCACATCTTTACCATTCCAGCAGCAGACAGCCACACTCCTCTCCCACATAGCAGAAGAGGTGAACTGGCAAAAGATTTTTCTTCACCTTTTTCTTTACCCTTTTCTTATGCTGAGAACCATTCTGCATTTTTCCCAGCAGCTCCCCCCTCTCTATCTCCTCTCCTGCTGGCTGAGCCCTGGTTTTGGGCACAGCCCATGAGGCACAGGGCAGAGCTATGCCCTGGAGCCCAGCTAGTTTCTCAGCTGGGGGATGGTGAAATGCAGCACGATGTGTGCCAGCTGGCTTCTGGGAAATGGCCCCGCTGCGCCCCCACTAACGTCTGCCGCCTCACCACTGCTTGGGAAACAGGGAGAAAACAGCTTCAGTGGGGCAGGGAACCGGGCAGACTGCAGCCCGTTGGCTTCAGAGATGTGCCTCAACGTCTGACAGGCTGAGTCCTGCCTTCCTGGCTTTAAACCCACTGAAACTTTGCTGTACATCCGCATGCTGGGCACTTTATGTTGCTAGAGGACCCGACTCAGTTTTGCCTAATGAAGAAATGGAAACACAAACCACTCATGACGACCAGTACTACCAAAGCTCCCAGCCCTGCCCCGATGCTGCTCGCTGTACAGAAGGGCGCTCAGTTACACACTCCCATGGACACTGAAGGGAAAGTTGCTTTAACGCTCGGTAACTTTTTTTTCCTTGTGTTTTGGCCAGTTTCCTCCCCAGGCTCAGAGAGCAAGGACAAGCAGCTTAGCCTGCCCAAGACAAACTCTTGGTTCCCTCTGTCCCTCCCACAGCACAGCCGGTGACCCCTCCCCTGTGCGCCGTTACCCAACTCACAAACAACGCTCCCGCTCACATCGGCCTCACGCAGCTCCGGTTGTGTCCGATCCCACCTCGCCACAAGGGAGTGGAGAAGCAGGGCTGCTGCCGAGCAGTGCTGCAGGCAGGTAACGGCTCCTCGGTTGTTGCTTTTTGTTTGTCATGCTGAAATCCTAGCCAGCATGGCAGTAGGTGGACCAAAATGAGCCTCCTGGCAAGCGGTCTTGCTGGACTTGTGTAATAGGAGAAAAGCCTCTGTACAAACTCAAAAACAGATCAAGCAATGCTTCCTATTACTTGGTTTCTGCAGGGAAAGAGAGGCAATTTTTAAAGTTAATATCTCGTGTAAAATACAGAATAACTGCTATTTTTGTAAGGCATGGCTGTCTATGTGTCTGTGTGTGCGTTTTGATTTGGTCTCCATTCAACGTGTTGGCTAGATGTAGAAAGTAGCAGCCCACATGGACTTGCTCAGCTGCTCCGCTCTGTCCCAGCATGCTGCCCCCAGGCTGCAAAAAGCCCCTGACCCTTTCTGGCTCCTTGCAGGTTTTGCAGGCTCTCAGTTGCCAGGATGCTTCTGCTTCTTTCTCTGGTCACTGGACTGGCCCTGTCTGCCTCTGGTGTCGTGACAGAAACAGGAGCCGATCCAAGCTGCGCATCACTTCATGATGTACAGAGAAAAGTGAATGACCTCTGGCAGAGCTTGCTCTATCCGGTGATGGCTGATAATGAGACTGATGGGCTGACCTACGCCACCTGTGAAATGAAGCCCAGCTCCAAAATAGATGTTGACAAGCCACAAGTGACTGGACAAGTCTTATTCAGACAGCATTACTCACAAGGAAGATTAGAAGCCATTTTTCACTTGGATGGGTTTCCGCTAGATAACAACCAGTCTGGCAGAGCTATACACATCCACGAGCTCGGAGATCTCAGCAACGGCTGCGACTCCACAGGAGGACACTACAACCCCTTCAGAGTCAACCACCCCCGCCACCCGGGGGACTTCGGCAACTTTTCTCCTAAAGATGGCAAAATCAGAAAATACAAATCCAATCTCTTCGCCACAATGTTTGGTCCGTACTCCATCCTGGGCAGATCCGTTGTGATCCACGAGCAGGAAGATGACATGGGTAAGGGCAATAACAAGGCCAGTCTGGAAAATGGAAATGCTGGCAAACGTCTGGCGTGCTGCGTGATTGGGATCTGCAACAAGAACTTGTGGGAGGAGAAACAGTTTGAGGCCACAGACAAGAAGAAGAGATGGCTCCGAACCAGGCTCAGCTGAGGACCTGCAGTCGAGCTGCCACCCAAGCATCAAGTACCTTAGGATGCACCGTTGGCCGCTTAGGTGGCAAAGGGATTCCCATTTCCATTCTCTTGCTTCTCTGAGAAATGTATATCACTTTGTAGAGCCACCTTTCTGTAAGCTGATCAATAAATACAGCATCAACTCAACACTGTGATATATTTTCTTGAAGATAGAAGGTTCCCTTTTATGCAGTTTGGGAGTTGAATGCATGTAAGTAAGAGGGCTAAGATGAATGGCCAATAAAGAGGCTGCACATCACAAGGGGCCATAAGTTAGATATAAAAGAAAAAAATAGATATGAGTAAGGGGAGAAATTGCCTCTGATTAGATGCTGTCCCTTATTTAGCTGCAAACCTGAGGGTAAAAAGATCTCTGCTTTCAACAGCTTTGGATGTTATGCTGTAAGACTTTGTTAATGGACTTCCCTGGGAAAACTATGGACATTTCGATGTTAAGCTTTGGGTCCATGATGTTATCCTACTTGGATTTCCAAGTTTTACTCTCAAACATATCTAAGCTTCTTAAATGGTTTGGACTGTTTACACACAACTATAGTTGAGTCACAGTATTTACAGCAGAAAGCTGACTTAAATATTCCAGCTTTCCATAAACCCCCAGCAAAAACTCCTGAGAGCCTCCAGTTTGTGACTAGAGGCAATGCAACCCCATAATGGATTGCATTCAAGCTTTAATACTGCTTAGATGATGACAGTAAAAATGATGATAAAATAAGAACAGCAGAAATTAGTACTATTATTTTCAAAACCAAAAAAATACCGAGTGCATATCTTCACACAAAAAACTGGGAAGTTAATCAGCCAAATGGGACTGGGAGAAGTCACAGTGAAAACATGTAAGTCAGAAAATGTTCAACAAACTTAGCAGTCTCACTCAATAAAGCTTTACTTTTCTCATTTTTAACAGCTGAAAATACTACGATACCAATTCATGACTATCGTTCATCTGATACTGAGAGGAGGAAATATGCAGGTAGAACAAACATATCAGGAAATGTATGCTTTTATTCAAGATGACAAAATATATTAATAGAGTTGAACTATGTTGCACAGTTAATCCAGGCAGCGACAAAAGAAGGGTTTGCAAATAAATTATACCATGTCATTTAAGAAGTAAAACTACAAAACAGGGGCTGGTAAACAAAACCCTATCTTTTAGAAACGTAGCCGACTTTCAACTTCATCTCAGTTAAGATTTCAAAATACATTCCTGAGCTCATATGGATTAAAGAAATTCTGCTGTCTTTATTATACAAATTACTGTACGCTAAAAATAGTCTCACTTAGAAAAGAGGCAACATTCAAAATGATGCCTCTTAGCCTGTCGTTTTCACAGAATTATTTTACAAATTCACTGAGTGTTCTTTTTCAAATAACCACAACAGTTCTTTCAGATGAAATCCTTCTCATAGATAATGCATGAATTTGCTCACAGGTGAGGCAATGTGCTTCAAATCAATTTATGGAATGCATCCTCTCCAGCTCCTTGCTACAACGCTCCCCTTTGCAGTTTACTTCCCCAGAGCTCAACAGCAAAAGGTTTTACACCTAGATGTGATTTCTCCATTTCTGAAGTCCTAGAAAGAGGGAACAAGTCTAAAAGAGACTCAACAAAATAGTGCTGATTCTACAACAAAACAGGAATGGATTTAAAACAAAACAAAACTAACAAAACAAACAAACAAAAAAAAAACCCACATAATTCTAACAGCACAAGAGCATCACTGGAAACAATACCTAAGACAGTTACTGACAAAACTAGTCAACGTGAGATCACAGAGAGGAGTCCTGCTCTTACAGCTGCCCCAGTATTGAAGCCTTGTGCTCCTGGGAGCAGGCTAAAAGCGCAGCCAGAGTACCCATTCACTGGGCAGGATGGGCAGGATGGATGGGAGCAGCATTGCAGCAGTGAGATGGCACTCTAAATGTGCTCTCCAGAATCCAGATCTCTCGCTGCAGTTTAACGACTGAGGGCTAATGAAGTGAGGATCGTTACCAAGATGACCTAATTGCAGGGCTGTACACCAGTTTTCTTCTCTCAGGAAAACCACACTAAAAGAATCAATGAGTGAGGCGCTGAAAAGCTGCTGCTGGTCCACAGCTACTTCCACCTGCTCTGATTTCTGCACTAAGCCTTTCATCAATTAATAGCATTAACTGGCTGTTGAGGGACAAGGAGCAAACGTCAGCTCACACAGCTGTGAGTCAGATAAGATAGAAGACAAGGAAACAAAGGCCAAAACCAACCCTGAACATTTCAGAGCTCAGCTATGTGAAATGCTGCCCTTTTTACTGCTTGCATCAGTTCTGACTGCATTGATATTTAGCTCTGCATGGGATTACTCTGTGAAAGATGGAAAAGAATGCATCTCAAATAAAGTGATACCCAATGTAACATTCAAGCATTAAAGGAAAAAAATCTGCCACATTCTCCTGGAGATCTCAGTTTCTGCAGCTATTTCTCTTCTGACTTGTCAGTACTGCCATATAAATGAGTCAATAGCGCAGTCAGTTCCAATTAATGGGAACAGCAAAACAATCTTTCACATGCTTAAACTCTTCTTGGTTTTCAGGTGATGAGGAACTTAAATTGTCATCAGGATAATGAAAGAAAAACTTTTTACTGCTTCATGTTCCTAACGCACTTAAATATACAGCTGTTTTTTCCCTAAGGGCTGCTGCTTAGCATCAGCAAAGTGCTGCAATGTCAAATTACCTTTAAAGAGAAAGGAAACCTATTTGAGGAGCACTGTGACTACGGCTTTACTGCCTGCACAGACAAAGAAAGGGTTACCCAGCTGCACCTGGTAGGAAAAGCACAGGACAACAGCGACAAGCCACATTTTTTACCTTCTCTCTATCATTCCTTATGTTTGTATGTAATCATTTACATACAGCCCTTCTTCTGCTGAATACAAATTGCTCATGGACTCTGCCACCTTGATTATAGCAGCACCTGCTAGCTCAGTTTCCATATACAGAAGAGTTTGTCAGTATCGCTAATATAAACTCTGTTTATTCAGTAGCTGACAAGTGGGCTGTAAAAATTTGCAGCTGGCAGTTATTTGTCAAAGGAGAACTCAATCTGGGAGGGATTTTCCTTTTTATTAGTAGTATTTTATTAAATTTGGTTTAATTCTCTCTGATTGGTTTCAAGTTCTAGGAGTGAGAAATGAACATTTACAGACAATTAGGTCCCAAGCCAGCAGAAAAATTGCCTTGACGGCTGCTGGCCCATAGAAGCTCCACAGCTGCAGAGACTGTTCCTTATGCTACAAGCAGGAGAGGAAGGACGTGCCTCCCCTTCTCCAACAGCTGCTAACTTCACCGTTAAGTATTCCCTTGTTGCTGCCCTCCTTGGAGCAGAGTGGCACAGCTCCAGCATCAGGAGTGTGCTGGGGAATGACACAGCAGCCTCCCTCTCCCAAGTTATTACAGTAATGTCTTCTTATGACTGAATATCAACACAGATAGAAGTTAGACAGCAACAACACAAATAAACCTACTACTACACCAAAAACTGGTGAAGTGAGGAGGAAACAAACATTTGAAAAATGTTTGTGTTTTCTAAAACATTAGAAACAAACACAGATTTGGAAAGGAGGGCATGTAAGAAAGAGGCTAAAATCTACCACCCGCTTCTCAAGGGTGTTCCAGCTCCTGAGGGCTGAGGGATGCAATTCTGGAAATATAGAATGTGAAGGAGGAGGACAAGGCATCAATGGTTCTTTTCTTGCTGCTCCCTTAGCTTTGGAACAGTACTGCTGTTTCTCACTGAAAGACTTCCTTCCAGATGATACTTCCTTCAGAGCACCATTAATTCACATTCTTAGTATCTGGTGAAATAACTCCGTATGTTTTCATGAGATGAGCTGGGAAAGGGAGGGCAAAAATTTGTACAATTGAGAAGATAGAAAGGTTTGAAATGAGATAATGATATACACACAGGGATGGTTTTCAGAAAGGATTCTGCTTCCTTATAAAGCAAGGGTAATTTTATTCTAAGTATGCACTTGCAAAGGGAAACAGAATGCAGTCTGAAAAAAAAGCAAAAGCCAGCAACCTTAAGATACTTCTCAATTTATCACTCCAAATTCTCCATCCTTGGGAGACACTTCTAAGCTTTAAGATATGGTCCAGCACTAAGACCATACACCTCACATGTACGTGATACATCATTATCACTGGTCTCTTTGCTACACTGTTGTAAATTATATCAATCATTACACAGAATCAGAACGATTATACCTAATTAGCTTCAAGTTCTTCCCCTCAGACAACTTACATTTTTGGTATACTGCAGTCAAAACTAACAGAATACTGTTATCAGACCAATATTAACAGACTGATGTAGAAAATCAGCTCTTTGACAGACTTTCACTGTTCATAGTCACAGTAGCATACGCACTTGCAAGAGGATTACAGTGAGAAGCTTGAGGGCTTGGATTTCATACCTCAAGCCAAGCTGTTATCCAAATATTCACAGTTTTCAGAAGGATCAGATGGTTCCTTGTTTGCAGTTTCAGGGAGCTCCTCAAAGCTGATATTTGTGCGTGCAGTTGTAGCACTGAGGCTCCCATGCCTTTTGGGGTCCTCACTGGGCGTCACATCCACAGTGCTGCCATTCTGACTCTCTCCTTCATGTGTAATTTCACAGTCACTCTCTGAGGCTTCATCACTGCCTTTCAGGCCCTCAGTTTCAGCTGTCTGCTCATTTTCTGAGGCTGAGGGGTCTGCAGGGTCAGACGGGACCAGGCTGAGTGATGGGAAGCCCTTCTCAGATGAACCATTAAACTCTGCTCTAACCACAGTCTTCTGCTCTTCAGATGAATTTTCTGTTCTTTTCCCTTCCAGTTCTGTAACTGCCTGTTTTGTCAGTTTAATTATTTGACTTCCAAGCTTGTTTATTTCTTCTTCCTCAGAATGTAACTGGGGTAATGAAGGATAAAAGTGTTTATTTTGGTTTCTGTTATTCAAGTTTCTTTCCTCTGAAGCCATGGAATCATGTGCAACAGCATTAGTTTCTTCATGCTCCTTCTTCTGTTCTACTGAAAGAGAAACAGAACAGCAACATGTGTCATGTATCTACATATCTGACCCAGAGACCATTCTAATAGCATCAGAGCACA